GGCACATACACCCTTCTAGAGGGTCCCCAGAACATTCTGTCAAAATGGAGCCATTAATAGTCAAATTCAAGAAACAAACCTACTTAGCAGTTTGAGTTCATTCTAAAAAACAGAGGAAGCAGTGCTTGTTGCTTTACTTTTAATAGCATGGGTTGTCATGCCAACTAGTGCTGCTATTTAAATTGAAGGGGGAAGAAAAAAGTGTTCCTTCCTATACAAACCTTTCAGCGGGGCTCACAATTAGTCTTTTAAAAACACGAAAATTCATTGCACTGGAGATACGGTAAACATTGTGCTTATATTTAAACCTGTCGGAATGAGGATGTGATAAACCTCTGGTTTGTATTTCCTTTGTACAATGCTCCTTGCCCAGTATCTGGCTGCGTGGTGCCCTAAAAAGAAGAAAGGCATTCTGTGGGCACATGCCAAGGCAGCCGATCTTGGGATGGGAGAGGAACCGTCCATCCGGAATAAACACCACCGAAGAAAGAGACAGAGAGGACAGCTTTCTTGCCAGAGTGGCTCTGCTCCCCCCTGGAAGGCACAGTTCCTAAAAGGCTGGGTCTGCACCATGCTGCAGGACACACCAGAGGTGTCAACGACAGGGGGAGAGAAGATGACAAGATGTGCTGGGCACCGTGGCAGAGGGGCCCCGTCCTTTACCCGTCGGTGTAGGAGTGCCGAGGGGCCCAGCTCAGCCGGGGAGGCGAGCCAGCAGAAGGAGAATGTGCTGTGTCTGATGTGGCATATTGATGTTGTTTGGGGACAAGAGAAGGCAGGAAAGTCTGAGGCAGGGGGAGGAGGTAAGGCGTCATCTCTCCCAATAGCCTGGCCGTCGTTAACTTCTGTTTCTAAAAGGATCCAGCTGGTATAAAGGAAGATCTGTGCAGCGTTGCTGAGGCTGGGGGGACCTGCTCATGGACCAGCCGAAGGGGTCCTGTCCCAAGACATTGGGGGGCTGACAACCTGGCCCCATGCTTTCTGTTCAGTGTTCTCTCTTACCTCTCCTCCATGAGAGCAAGCCCTTGGCTCCCGGATCCTCAGGCCTCATGCCCTCGTACCCCCAGGGTCTTGACGATGAAGGTGTCTCTCTGCTCTGAGACTTTCTGATTCTTATCGGCCCTTGATGCACCAGCAGTTTCTCCTCTCCCAAGGGCACCCCAACCTCTTAAACGTGGCTGCAAGCCCCCCGGTCCGTTCTCCTGAAAGGAACATGTCTTGCACTCACCAGTCTTCTCTAATCAGTTGTCTTTTTGTGTCTTTCTGTTTCATTTCCAACTAGACTGGAAGTTTCTGGAAGCCAAAACACCTTCTTCTCTGTTGCTTCCCCTGTGCCCGGCAACTCCTGGGCATATGCTGGTGGGAATAGCACAGCAGCATCCAGCTGCCATGTAATGAGCTCCACTCGGTATCACGTAGCAAGTGTCGGGCTCTGTTCTGAGTACCTTACCTAGTTTAATGAATAGCCTCACAATGATCTGAGATAGGTATGGCTACTGTCCCCATTTTACAGAAGGAAAAACCAAGGCATAAGGGGTTAACAACTTGCCAGGATCACACAAGTGTAATCTGAGTGGCAGACCCAGAATCCAAACCCGAGCTCCCGAACACAAGGGCCAGGGCTCAGGACACACTAGGTTGCTGACCTGGGTTTGGGGGCTGAGGAGACAGAGACGGGGTGGAGTGCCAATGGAGGGGAGACAAATGGGTGGGAATATCTACAGTAGCACACATAGGACACTACCTCATTCCTTGAAACTTGTGTAAATGTACGTGCATTTACTCATAAAGAGATACATGAAAAGACGGTCTCAACGATGTCAAGGAGGGCGGGACTCTAAGTGACTTTTATTTCCTTTTCCATACTTGTCTGTATTGTTTAATGCTTCAAGGAGTCTGCAAGGTGCTGCATATTGCAAAAAAGATAACCGATGAGGTCACTTTCATTGTGTAAGGAAAAGAAAAACAAAGAAAAAGAAAAAGAAAAAAAAGAGGGGGGGATGGGAAGAAGAGCCATCCAATGTTTCTGCACAGAAGGGTGGCGGCCACTCTTGGTGTCTCAGAAAGATCACTTTGGCCACCATGCAGGAGGTGGAGACAGGGACCGACTATACAACCACGATGAAGGACAGCAATGACAATCACTCACGCTCACGGGGCCCCCAGAAGTAGCATAGGGAGCTTAAAATCCAGCTGTCCCCACGGCAGCACCACTCCCCAGAGTCAAATGCCCACCACCAGATAAATGGGTGAACAAATTGTGCTGGATCTCCACAGCGGAATGTCATTCGACCGCAAGAAGGAATGAGTCCCATTACAGGTTACAGCATGGGTGACCTTGAAAACATTACGCTGAGAGAAGCCCAAAGGTCACTTACTGGACAGTTCCAGTTATAGGAAATACCCCAGATGGGTAAATCCATAGAGTCAGAAAGCAGATTGGTAGTGGACAGGGACTGGGGGAGGTGGGTGGGGGACAACTGCTTACTCGAGACAGGGTCTCCTTCTAGGATTTGATAGAGTGATGAATGTACCGAATGCCACTGAGTTATATACTTTAAAATGGTTACGTTTATGTTACGGGAGTTCACCCCAATGAAAAAACAATACAGTTAGCCTTTTAACCTAAAGCCCTGAGAAAATGGAAGGGCAGATGAGAAGAAAAGAAGAAGAAGAAAGAAGAAGAAGAAAAAGGCGGTGGGGAGAGGAAGAGGAGGAGGAGGAGAAGAAAATGGCAGCAAATGAAGGAAGCAGGACCCTCAGCCTGGGACCAGAGGAGAGAGGGTCTGTGCTCAGCCAAGGTTGGACCTTCTGAAACTGAGCACCCAGATGCCGGCCGCTTTCTCCTAGATAGGACCTGTTTTAGTTAAAAGATCTGAGACGACATGGCCATCAAATGTTTGCTGGGGAGGCTCCAACTGCAAAACTAAGTAGAAACAGCAAGGTTGAAGCCATGTAGTCAAATGCTTTACTATTGGAAGCAGACCCTGCCCTCCCCAGCACCAGCCACGCCAGAGGGCAGCTGCCTGCGGCTTGGCTGCCTCCCCCTGGACCGGGGGCCACTCGTGGGCAGGGACCATGCCTCGCGCATGGTGGTATCCCGGCCTTAATCACAGCCCCTGGCTCAGAACGGGGGACCGCATATACATGTATTACAGAAATGAATGTCCTCCATTGTGTCTATCTTATCAACTGATTTATATATTTAGTAGATAAAACAAAGATATGGTATAAAATCCATAAGCTTCCAAGGAATGTACAGTGGTAAATTTCCCTTTCTCCCACCCTTGTCCTCCATCACCTACGAGGCAACCTCTGGCCCTGTCCCCATCGCTTTAAATGTGACCAGGGCAGTGAAATTCTGAATCGCAAAAGCTCCAGCAACCAATCGGACCACCTAGTGACTCGGGCGTCAGGTCATCCCCACAAGATGGAAGCTACGTGTGATACCAAGATGAAAGTCACTGGAGTGAAAACAAGGCCCCAGTATTCCATGCTGGGAGGAGGCACATGCCAGGCTTGTAGAGGAATGCTGCAAAGGTGACAGCCATCCCCCTACAGTCGTTCATGGCATGACGAGAAGTCCGTGGGCAGGAGCCACGCAGCCAGCCAACCACGCCAGCCACCTCAAGCTCCTCACACCTGGTTCTGAGGTCAGTGAAGTTCAAGCTGAGGGAAGGCCATGCTGCTACATGATGGGATGAAAGGAGACATGCCAACCGCAACCAACCTCGGACCCAGACAGATGGTTTCTTTAGTGGTTTGTCTGGAGGAAAAAAAGTTCACCTGAAGAGGACTCAACTGGGAGCTGGGTGGCACTGTCCCCACGGACGGACCCCACGGTGACACAGCAGACAGGCACCAAGCTGGCTGGGAGGGGAGGGTCCCAGGAAATGGAAGCACGTGGAGTAGGGAAGAATCTGGGCAGAGTCCCAGGGGGTGAGCCATGTGGGACAGGAACATCTGGGCACACTGCTTTATCTAGCCGGACTGAGAGGGGATTTTTTTGAAGACTGAGTAACCACTGTCCTGTAGAGTCACCAAACCAAAGACTAAAAAAAGACCCGAGCCACGCAGGCCCCTCTGTCCTCCAAGGCTCCTGCTTCACGTGACGGCGACGCACCGGCAGGCTAGGGGGTGAGCCGGGCGCTCATCTGACGCCAGCCAATGTGTTACTGTGTTTCATTCCCTGTCCCCATGCCCGGAAGCTGCGGCAGTGGGTATAAATTTAGAAAGAAAAAGATAAATAACGTGGAAAAGTCCACTTTAACAAAATGAGTTGTCTTCTTTCTTTCTTTTTACTCCACTCAAGAAAGGATAAACCGATCGTGTTCCTTATTCCGCCCACACCCTGGTGGACTTTGGTATTCTGGGCAGTAGCTCGATAATGCACGACCGCAGCCCGAGATTAACCAGCCTCTTCTGAAAACTGTAAAACAGTCAAGCTTCCATCCTCAGTGTTTTTTAGAAGCTGAAGGAACAAAATGACAGGACCTCGCACGAGATCTGTAATCAACTCAGGTCTCTTCTGAACAAGCAAAAGCCCTTAAATGAAGACCGTGTTTACTGATATGGATGCTGATACCAGTTCCTCTGACAATACGCTGTGCCTGATGGTGCCATTCCATCAGGAGTTACGCATCGTTTTAAACAAAGTAAAACCTGCTTTCTAAGGGAATTAGGATCACAGATGGGAGATTTTGGGTGATGGCAGAAATTACCCTGCAAGAGAAACTGCTTGAGAAATGCTTGCCTTCCCTCACATGCAAACTCGCAGCCAGTGGGTTTAGGGGCCACTGGTAGGAATTCACCACCGGTGAATTCCATGATCCAATCATCTAGCCCAATTCCTATTTCACAGAGTGAAGTGACAGGCCAAGGTCACATGGCTGCCAGGGACAGAGGGGTCAGGACCTGGTCTCACAGCTCTTCCCAGTGCTTCTTCTGCTAGAGCCCCCCCACCAACCCCAACCTGGAAGTACCAGACTCAAGGGCTCTACCTCCGACAGCATCTCATACTGGCCTCTTCTTCCGAGGGCAATGGTCAGTAAATCATAGACCACAGATGCACTCTGCAAGCTGATGAGGCGGTCACTCTTGTGCTCGGGTATTCTGCTCAGCACAGCGTCCCGGTTGGCCTGAAAACAACACAGAAGAGAGAAGCAGATGGTGAGCCAGCCCAGGCACACAGCTATCATTTTGTGGAGAAAAGCCATCTAGGCCCTCCTGCCCCTAAGGGCTTTTGCCAAGGGCCTGGAGACAAGGGCAGGAGTGAGTAAGGGGCTTGTCACCTTGGGTTGATTATTCAAAACCCCCCCAGCACCGCAGCACACGGTTCGGGGCATTATCCAAACACAACGGCCTGGAGGTATGGTCCTGGAGGATGCTTGGTACCTGTCAGCAGGAGGCTTTGGGAGCTGATGCAAAGCAGGGTGATTTCTCCTGGCCTCGGGCTCCCAGCCAGCCCTCCTGTGCACACAGCCAGGGCTCTGGGGCAGCAGACTCACCCATCGGGTGGGGCCCTGCTGTGCCTCGCTTGTCGGTCCAGCCCCTGCTGTACATTAATGAGCGGGGGCGGGGGGGGGGGATCTCCAGTCCCGCACTCCCATCATCAAATGGTGCCATTAAGTTCCCTCAGTCCTACAGAGACGTGTCGTACTTTTCCTCTGCCACTAAAGCAACATTCAGATCCCTATATGGCACCTTCATCGGAACAGACTACAAAGACTAATGCGATCTTGTTTAGGGAAGCACCAAACAGCTGCAGAAGAGAAAGCAAGAAGCAAGCTGATTTTTGTTTTAAAAGCTATTACCAGAGGACTCAGGAGAACACTTTGCCTCTTGAGTGTTTCCACTGCTTGGCACAGAAATACAGCAGGCACATTCAAGCTTATTAATCTCATCTCTCTAGGAATCAAATGCTCTTTACAACAACGTGTTTTCATTACTTTTGAAATTTAATTTCTCGACAGAGTCTCCAGACATATCACATGTATTAGGGCCGCTAACCACTCCAACCATTTTCCTTTCCTCCCTGCTAGGGAGTTCAGAATCAATTAAGTTAGATTTTGCCTGTCTTTTCTCCCCCTGCTAATTAGCAGAAGTTTCTGGATCTATGCATCCCTAGGAGGACAGAAAGGGCCCCCTTGGTTTCTCCTGTAAAAGTGGTAGGTGAGGTACCAGGGTCCCTGGTCCGGGCAGGCTGATGGCTATCCTCCTGCCTGACATGCCCACACACCTCCTCTCTCACTAATAAGATGAAATGCCTTCTCTCTGTGTATGAGTCCAAGGTGCTCACTTTTAGCCACCCATCCGTACTTACTCACTTTAAAATTCCTTGCTCTTAAATGTCAAAGACAAATAAGAATATATAAGACAGGCTACTTCCTACCAAGTGAGTCATCTCTTATGGATACAAGCCTGCTTCTGAAGATTTCATTCTAAGGTTTTCTTGTTAGGAGCAACTTTGAGCCAACAAAAGAAGCTCTAAGGGAAACAGGGCCCTGCTATAAGGAGTCTCATTTTATCTACTTGCTATAAATGTTCCATATTAGGACCAATGCCTGGAAGAGAACAAAACAAAACAAAAATACTACTTGAGAGATTTTCAAGTTATGCCAAGTACATTTTTTTTTAATTTTTAGAGAAAGTCTATTGATGTCTTTTGATTCAAACCTCAAACAGATCCACAAATAATAAATACCCCAGAACATTGTCTCAGAGGTAGTTGTGCAAATGTAGCTCTGATAACCCTTTTTTCTCCTGGGGAAAATTCATTTGATTTGAGGTGAGAAAGCAGTACAATGCCAAACCATATCTTACAGGTGGAGAGACTATGGACAAATTGATGTTTCTAAAGTTAGAGTCAGAACCAATGAAGAATACAATTTTCTTAGACACCAAAAAAACACAGGAATTCTCATTTGGTTCTGAAATTGAGCACGTGGATTTCTGTCTAAAAACTGAGAAATCAAGAAGTCAAGGAACATGAAAAAAGCTTCCAAAAGCAACTTAATTTAGACTTCTACCTACATAATTATGGAACAATTTACAGGGAGAGCATAATCGTTTTGGTTGGAAACCCAGACGCTCATATTTACTGAGGATGTCATTGGGTTTCACCATCCTCTGAAGAGAGTTTCCAGAAATTAAACACCACAGAGGCAAATCTGATGGTCTCAAAGGGATCTCAATTTTGAGTATTATTAGTTTCTATCATTTCAATTAAGGAGCAGGAAAGGCGGAGACATCATTCCCAAGAATCTACACTTGTAGCAAGCATTCTGGAGATGTGGCTATGTTTCCCAAATTCTAAACTGGAACACACACTCTGACAACGGAACACAATATTTTCGATCAGAATTGTCCAAGAAATCTAAAATGTGTGGCCACCAGTCTTTCAGGACTTTCCCAACGTTACCAACCAAGTTTGCCCGAAGGAAACTAACTGCCAAGTTGCGAGGAGCCCAGCTGAGAATGAGGGAATGTGAGCTAGGGGGCCAACATGAGCCGGCCGCCCCCGCTGAAGAACCGATGACAAAGCATGGTGAGACCGGCTCATTTGAAAAACAGTTACTGAAAGCCACCAGGTGCCAGACTGCTCACATATATGCCTTCCCTGGTCATGCCAAGGCAGAGTAGAGAATGCAAATGACACCATTCTGAGTTACCAGCTGACAGTCAAGGAAAGATGAGCCAAGGGGGGGCAACCTGTTTCCTTCAGAGGAAGTAAGGCCAATGACGTCAAAGAGGCTTCAAATAAAAAGCAGTGGTAACTCAAGCAGTCTTGCTCTTGTAAACATCTCCGGGCCATTTCACAGAACAAGAAAACCCAAAGTTTGAAATTAAGAGAAGAATGCTGGCCTCCCTGACTAATCCCAGCTTCTCCCGATCCCTTCTTTACTCAGCCCATTGGACATTCTTCTTGGGCTCCATTTCTAAATCCTCTTCAGCTGGGTGTATTTCATGCCTCCACTGAAACCACATGCTTGGGGAAGAAGGTAAATACCACCTCTTGCCTCAGTCACGATTCCTTTTCCTCCTCCTTCACCTCCTGCCTGCCGGGTGAGGGGGGAGAGATGGGAGGAGGCAGTCTGATCTAGAAAGAGCAACAGACCACTGCAAGCTGCATCCATTTTGCCTGCTCTGGTCCTCAGGTTCCTCGTCCATAGAATGAGTGAATGGGTATGAGGACATCTAGGTCCTTCCCAGTTCCAGGAGCCTCGCTATGCTGTTCAGGCGCTCAGCACACACCACTTACGTGCCAAGGTACTAACTAACTACTGTGACACAGATTGCCTCCCACGGTTTCAAGCCCAGGCAGTCATGCCTAGCACTCCGCAGAGCAGAAAGCCAATAAATGGTGAGGCATGAAATTCTAGACGTAAACTTTGATAGCCTGGCCAGACATTAAGAAAACATTTCAAAGGAATCCGATGGCCTGGCAAAAACTCCCTCACAACATTAGAGCCAGGGAACAGGAGCGAGCTCTCACGGCCCGGGACTCCGGAATGTCCGGGGAGCAGGCGGGAGGCCTGTCCAAGAGGACGAGGCCACTTCATCAGGCTCCTGCTACAAAAACCAGAGGTTTGCATCCACCACCAGTGATTTACCCCTAAACTCTCCCTACCTCCCCAGGCAAGTTGAGTGGCTTGGAAAGGTTACCCTCAGGGGGATTCCTTCCCTTTGGAGGGTTCCTCTGGTGGTCCTTTTAGCCGTAGTTTACCTACCCACAGTTGTGTTAGGGTTCCCGTAGCCAGTGGGCAAATGAATGAACTCAGATGCCTGTTTACTGCTTGCCTGAGAGAGGCTCCATGCTCCAGGCTGAGATTAACCTACAAGGGACATTTCTACCCAGTCCGAGAATTAAGAAACATCCCTCTTCTTAA